GTACTTAAGAACTTAATTCGTTCTGGAGGTCCGTTCTTAACCTGAAACTGTTCTTTTTTAAAAATAATAATAATATTTATTGCTTTTAAAAGTTACAAAAAAGAAAAAAAGAAAGAGAAAAACAATACAATATATAAACAATACAAGCCCACCCTATACCCATTGAACTAAACAGATGAACAAAGCAAGACAAAAACAATTTAAAAACATCCCTCCTTTTCCATACTCTGTCCTTCATTCCCTTGTTTCCTTGACTTCCTCACACCTCCCTTCTTGTATCCCGCTTCTAGTACTTGTTTCAGCAAATCCTTTCCATCTTTCTCTATTTTCTGTCATATTATGAATAACATATTCTTTAACCTTATTTCCCATTAACGGTTGATTACTTATATACACCCAACTTCTTATAGCATTTCTGCTAAATCCATAAAATATCATTCCACCATTTTTCTAACAGTCATTACTTTAACAAAATTTCTAAATAAACACTTTAAATTTTCCATTAATCTTCCACTATCTCCTCTCCCTGGCTTTGGATTCTGCCAGTCCTTTCCGTCAGTTCCATATAATCCATCAACCTGGTGCCCTTATATCCGAGGCTCTTAAATCTCTTCCAAGTCCCTTCTGCAGGTCTTCTTCATATTCTTTGATGCTCAGGAGCAAATCTCGGGAAACTCCAGCCTAGCAATACTTTTGTTCCTTCTGGACTGTTCAGCCAAATTTCCAAAGTTAAAAGTAAAGTCCATAGAGTGTTTCAGAACATATTTCAGGATTCCTCCAATTCTAACGACCCCCAAAACTTCAAACTCCTCCAAGCCCGGGTCCATGTCCCAAAAGTCAGTCAATTCCTGGATAGAGGGTTCTTTCCAACTTTCCTTCTTCAGTCCAAGCCGGGATCCTAGCCTCAAAATTTGACTTTTGCTAGATTCAGTCATGAGAGACCTCAATTTATAATCCTCTATCTGCTTCTGAGAAATTAAGGATCCCGCCTGTACTACTTTTGGTTTCACATCATCAGCTTTCTCCTTTTTCTCCACCATTTTCACATCATCAGCTTTCTCCTTTTCCTCCACCATTTGTCCAACCAAGATATGTTCCTGTACCAAATCCTGAGTTGTTTCTGTATTGACACTCACTTTTTGATTCAAATTAATCACGTTCTGTTCCAAGTTGTCAATTTTAGAGATCGTGTCATCTGTCTTTTTATGAAGCTGTTCCAGCGAGTAGTTTATCTTATATAATACAGTCACAATGGCTTCTCCTATCAACATTTTGAGTGATCCAAGGTCAGACTCTATTTTTCAGAATCTTATCTTGCAGCTGGAGCTCTCCCTGTTGCACTCCTGTAACAGTTTCACATGCTCCCTCTAGAGGGAAACAGTCTCCGTTTGTATCAATTCTTTCAAACACAACTCAAGCAAGTAACAATAGTTTCAATTTTCGGTTACTTTTTCCTCCATTTTTAAACGCAGAAGAGGACAATGGAGACAGTGCCTTTCTTATTTTAGCTAGCTGTCAAATCCGTTCTGTCAATAAACATTCCCCGAACGTCATCTGGCAGCCCTTTTCCAGGTTCAGAGCAGTGGCAATTTAATTTTGACTCTCTTCTGCAGGCACACTAAATCCAAAACTTCCCCTCTCTTCTCCTGCTTCCAAGAGGGGTTATATATTCTTGTCCGGTGGGAATTTAATCCTTTATCAAAAGCTTTCAAAGACTTTAGCTTGTAACGTCTTTGCTTCAATCTATTTACAAAACGGGAGGCGGACTTCCTGTTTAGAGCCTTCCTGTTAGCGCCAAATTAAAGTGTTTCAAGGTCCAATTTTCCGTTCTACTCACGGGTAGTCGTTTAAAATCCAATTGTCCACAGGAAAAAGTCAGCGCTCTCCGGCAACAGCAATGCGGCTTCACTCCATGAAAGAAGCGGTCGATTCAAAGCACCGCGCCGCTCACCCCACGTCGCTCCGGATCCCCAAAACAGGGTTTCCCCGTGAGTAGAGGGGGCGCAAATGGTGCCAGCCGAATCCCAGGTTCACAGGCTTCTCCCACCTGTGATTTCTATGGGTCTCCGCCTTCACCGTGGCGGTCAGACCCTGCTTTTCACGGAGCAAATTCCTCCAGATCGGAGGAATTCAGCCATTGCCGGAGGCGCCTCCCTGGAAGTCCTTCTGTAAGATTTCTGGAAGATCCTTCTGTAAGATTTCATTATTTATACAGTGGTACCTTGGGTTAAGTACTTAATTCGTTCTGGAGGTCCGTTCTTAACCTGAAACTGTTCTTAACCTGAGGTACCACTTTAGCTAATGGGGCCTCCCGCTGCCGCCATGCAATTTCTGTTCTCACCCTGAAGCAAAGTTCTTAACCCAAGGTACTACTTCTGGGTTAGCGGAGTCTGTAACCTGAAGCGTCTGTAACCTGAAGCATCTGTAACCCGAGGTACCACTGTAGAGTTTGCTTTCAATGTGCTATAAATTTATGGTGCGGATGCGACCTCAGAGACCTTTTTTGGCCTGACAAGACTGACAACTCTCAGACTGACTTCTTTCCCGTTTTGCTCTTTGATGTGTTCTGCTCCTTTCCTCTTCCCCCCTCAATTTTGCTAACCACAGGGAGCCGGCGTGATGCCTGCATTATTACTGCTACCAACCCCCCCCCCCCCCCCAAGATCCACAGACGGTCTGAGACGACTCCTGTCCAAAGGAAACAGCGCCGCTTGGCTCTCTTGGAGTCTGTTTTTAATAATGCAGCAGGAGACAGGACTTCACTTTGCAACAAAGGCAAGAGTTGGCTAATGAGGCCTCGACAGGCAGACACTTATCATTATTATTAATCATCGTCATAATCAGAGTCATTTCCTACCTAAATTATGACAGTAGCGCTTCATCAAGATACTCGATCTGTCACAGGTCTGGACATTCTGTCCTCTGCCGACAATCAGACAAGCCCCACGTTAAGTGCCATTGGAATCTCACTAGGAGGCTCCGTCAAGGAGCCCCACCTGGGGTTTTTTCACAGTTGGCTACAGAATACGATGCTGTGCAAGGTGGTCACACTGAATTCTTAACCCAAGGGGGGCCTGCAAGGAGGATTTGAGCACAAAAGAGCCCTCTGCCCTTCTCCAGCTATTCAAAAGCATTTACTGCCTCCAGCTGAGGAGGCAAAGAATCACCATCATGGATAGTAGTCATTGATAGTCTTGTCCATTCGTGAATTTATCAATCTTTTAAGGCCATCCATTAAAGTCAAAACCATTCCACACAATCCCAGAGCAAGGAACATTGACATATCAATGCAATATGCTGGGAGGAGCGCCAAAAGAAAACATTCCATAGTGTCAGCACAACTGGATATGTTCATTTGCCCCAGCTGCAACAAAACATGTCTCTCTCACTTTGGTCTCTACAGCAGTGGCTGTAATTTTCCTCTTTTTTTATTACATTTTAAAATTCATTTTCACTTTTAACATTTATCATCATACATAAACCATAATCATTTTACAAATAGGATTCTCAGTATCCCGGAACTTTGCTCCACCCCCCATAATTTCCCCAGATATTCTTTTCAAACTGCATCGTATCATATTCTCCATGTTTTCTTAAAACTCAATTTTTATCATAGTTCTCACTTCATTGCAAGTGTTTTCAAAATCCTGCCAATGTTTTCAATTGTTTACAGTGTTCTTTCAAGTAACTTAGAAAATTTCCCCATTCATTGTCAAATTTATTGTCCTTTTGATCTCTGATTTCCTCGGTCATTTTCACCAATTTGGCGTAGTCCATCACCTGCCATTCTTCTTTTGTAGGTAGATTGTCCTCCTTCCATCTTTGGGCAAGTAACATCCGTGCAGCTGTTGTAGCATACAAAAATAGTCTCTTCTGATCCTTAAGTATTTCTGGACCTAAAATACCTAGTAAGAAAGCTTCAGGGTTTTTTACAAAGGTAATTTAAAACATTTTTTCAGCTCACTGTAAGTCATTTTCCAAAATACCTTCGTTGTTTTTTGCATGTCCACCACATGTGGCAAAATGTGCCTTCTTTCTGGTGCTGTAATTTCCCGATGCCCAACTTCATGCCAGAAGGCAAACTCTACCATTGTCTCCCAATACTGACGGATGCCAACAACAGTGTGATCAGATTTAAATGCAACTCAATGTAAAAGCAGATAATATCTGCTGGGGAGCATGCAGAACTGCCTTGTACTGTCTCAGACCATTGGTCCAGCCAGCTCAGTATCGTCTGCGAGGAAGAAGAAGGAGGAGGAGGAGGAGGAGGAGGAGTTTGGATTTGATATCCCGCTTTATCACTACTGTCAGGTGCTTGTGGTGGTTGCTCGTGAGTAACCAGGCAGGACTCCGACCTGTCTTTTACAGGTTTTATTGGTGCAAACTATTTACAGTGCATAACCACAAAGTTCATGTTCGTCTTAGTCACTTGCAGATTCCAGGAGTGGCCCCTTCCGGTTTCTCCCCCAACATAAGAACTCAGACACCCCAAATCTCCGCCTCCCCTCTTTACATTTCACTCCTCTGCGCAAGCTGGGCGACTGAAACGGCATGTGTGCCTCCTGGCCAGCCGGGCTAGGTGAGGCGCTCTCAGCAGCATCTTCAAGCCCTCCCTTCGCTTGGCTGCCCCCTTCCCTCTCTTCTCCACTGGAGGCATGGCTTTTCCCACTGCTGGACGAGGAGCTGCTCCTCAGAAGCGTTGGAGGCTCTCTGTATCCCCCTGCCTCCCTCCCCTGCTCTGATGGCAGTCCCCTGATGTCCACCCTAAGGAGTCTCAAAGCGGCTAACAATCTCCTTTCCCTTCCTCCCCCACAACAAGCACTCTGTGAGGTGAGTGGGGCTGAGAGACTTCAGAGAAGTGTGACTGGCCCAAGGTCACCCAGCAGCTGCATGTGGAGGAGCAGGGAAGTGAACCCGGTTCACCAGATTACGAGTCTACCGCTCTTAACCACTACACCACGCTGGCTCTCCAAGTTTTGCAAGTCTTTCCTAGGACCACTTGGAGATGCCAGGGACTGAACCAGGGACCTTCTGCCTCAAAACAGCAGCTCTGCCACTGAGCCACATCCTTCTCATGAACACATTTCCACTTGCCCAAGCTCTGCCCAAGTGAAACAATAGGAACCTATTATGATGCTGTGTGAATTCTGGGGTAAAGATTGGCAGGTCATGCTTGCATCTATTTTATTTCTGCTTGTGGTTCTTTGGACGTAAGCCATTGTTATTTTGGTTCAGGGGTAACCAAAACAGTGTACCCAAAAAGTTCTTGGCCTGCAGTTCCCATCAGTTCCAGCTGTCATGGCCAATGGCCAGGGATGATGGGACTTGTAGTCCAACAACATCTTGAGACTGCCACATTGGCTACCCCGTTCTTATTGTTCTCCGAATATTGGAGGAGAACAGATGGTCCTGCCTTTTGGAAGGAGAAGGGACTTAGACCTGGTAGGTTTCTACCCTCTTCCCATTTTGGAGAATTCCTAGAACTCAAATAGTGGCAGTGGATGGACAGCAGGTAAGAGTTGAGCCGCGATTCTGACGAGTGACTCATCAACTGTTCTCAAACCTCTAGAAAAGGTGGACCGTTAAATTGAAGCAATCTGGCCAGCGCCTCTCCTCTCTGGTTTTCTCATCTGGGTCAGCTATGGTTCGGTAACCAAAGCATGAATGAGACAGCTCTGATTCTTCGCAGCATTTTTGGATGAATAATTCAGCAACATTAAATAATTCAAGGAAGGACTTTCTCAGCAGATACACTTATTCTTCTGTTCTCATTCCAGCCACCTGCCGTCGCTGTGGCACCATGAACCTCCCTCTTTTGAAGCTCTCCTTCCGCTTTTCATCTTGCTTCCTTTCTTCTGATCTACGCCACTGGGCTTGCGGGACAAATTATTGGCAGAATTTAGCATTGGTGGGGGGGATTACAGCTGCCTCCCCTCTTTCCTCTGTTTCCAAAGCTCTATTTGACAAGGTTTAACAAACATAGTAATGAGATCTCCCCAGAAAATACAAGTGGAAGGGATCTTGGAAAGATGTTTTATTACACTGAGTCCAGTACTGCTTGAAGAAGAGATCAAACAACTGTGGTGCAGGCTCCAAGGGAAAGGTCCAATTCAACATTTAAAGGTAGTATGGAAACACGCAGGGCAATGGGAGGCAGTGAACATACTAAGGAAGATATTCAATCTTTGATTATTGTCTCTTACCAAGAAAGAAAGTCCAGCCACCAAGAAGGACAACTTTTTGTTAATATTCATGTTTAGATTTTATTGAAATTTTTCAGTAGAGAAATAATAAATATAAAAGGTGAAGAAAAATCAAAACGCAAGAAAGAAAAAGTGTTTGAAACTGTGATGCAATACATGGGTATATATGTATTATAATTATTCTAGCAAATATAAAATTATTAACAAATCATTGTGCTTTTTATAAATGCATTCCATTTTTTTGAAATCATTTTTATTTGATTTTACAAATACAAAGTTATATAAAAAAAAAACCAAATATATATCCATAAACAGAGATTACTCCGAACCTTGGTCCCTCCCCTCACCCCCTCCACGGGGTCCCATATTAAACATTTAAAACTGCATATTCCTCCAAATTCTAACTATTATATCAATCCATATTACCCATGGTAATTATTACGTTACAGGTGAAATTAAAATCCTGCCAATGTTTCCATCTGCTTACAGTGGTCTCCTAAATAACTTGTACATTTTCCCCATTCTTTTATAAAGTTTTTGTCCTCCTGGTTTCTGAGTTTTCCAGTCAGCTTTGCCATTTTGGCGTAGTCCATCAGGTTCGTTTTCTTTTCCATTCCTCTCTGGTAGGAACATTGTCATCTTTCCTTCTCTGGGCTAGTAATCTCTGGTCAGCTGAGTGGGAGGAGGCAGGCAGACTCCACACAGGCCCCGCAGAGCGTCCTGCCCCAGCTGGCCCCGCCCCCATGGGCAGCTGGCCCCGCCCCTGGTCACAGGGCATGCACGCTGCCCCAGGCACCCGATTGGCTCGCCCTCTCAGGTGGGTGCCATTGCCATTATAAGAGAACAAGGGAGTTAGGTGTTCATGGTGAGTTCCAGAACCTCTTTATCAAGAAAAATAGCACTGACTAGGACTGAACAACAACGGCAACAATGTTTAGGCAACACAATGACCGTATACATACGTAATAGACAATCTTCATAGAATTCCTTCAAACCATAACAAGTTCAAAATGAAACCTTAGCCTCAAAGTCTCTGAAAATCTTTAAATGAAGCGAGGTACCAAACTTTGTACGATGAAAGATTAGCTGTGGAGCTTTGTGTATTCAGCAAATATAATGTCCAACACTGAACAGAGATTACGGATTATTGACTGCTGTTTCGTAGATCTTTGTCAGCGTGGTGGGAGAATATAGAATTGTTTCATAAACTGAAAATAAAATTTTACAGACGATGACCTGCATGACATATCACTTTACAAAAATTACAAACTGTAATACAAACAGTAATGAAAAAGAGTACATACCCCATCTTATTTCGAATGAATATATGTGAATGTAAATATCAAATGCTGTGGAGCAGTGCTCATGTAATAATGTAGTCACTGCTACTAACAATATTTTTGTGAAACATATAAAGCCGACTCCAGGTGATGCTAACAACAACAACAACAGTTTTTTTGTACCCCGCCCATCTGACTGGATTGCGCAAGTATGGTCTCTAACAGCTCTGTAAGACATCTGTTAAAATCTTCATGGGTTTGTTACCCCAGTTGCACCGTTACTTTTAGCCTATAAAAGAGTTACTGTAAATCTACTGCAGTCCTGGGCGTTCATTAAACATGCTCTTTGGAAGAAAGATGGGATATAAATGCACTACAAAGCAATATTAATACACATTTACAGGCTCATGTGAACTGGCCCAAAGGTAGCATAATGTCACTGCTCATATTTACCAGTTGTTCTCCTTGCCCCTCACATCAATATTTTTTCATTTGGGTTCAGCACCACTCAAAATTCAAATTGTATGAGGGCTGGGACAGTGGGTGGTATTTAACTACTGCATCAAATCAGTGCAAGGAATTCTGTTTGCATGATGGGACTTTCCCCCCCCCCTCTTCCCCCCATGTTCACCTTCCCCAAAGTTGCTTCAGTTGGGGGAAAGGAGAGGGGCAGGATATTTCACTATGCAAGCAGAAATCCTCAGAGTGATGGTACATTCACTTAGCACTACGTTTGACTCCACCCTATAGCTATTTTTATCTGTAATTATTGAATTTATATCCCACCCTTCCTCCCCAAAGAGCCCAGGGCAGCAAACGGGATATACAGTACAAACAAACAAACAAACAAACAAACCACACTCTAAAACACATTTTAAATATGCTTCCATCCAATTATCTTGAGGTTACAAGGACCAGTATTCTTTGGCCATCAATTGCCTGAGTGAACAGGAATGTTTTCAAATTCCTCCTGAAAATTAATAATGGTGGAGAGAAGCACATTTCACCAGGGAGTGCATTCCAAAACTGGGGAACCACCACTGAAAAGGCCCTGTCATGTGTCGACACCAACTGTGCAGACGTAGAGAGACAGACATCCCTTTCTGAACCTAATTAAGCTGTTTCCCAGCATAAATTCCAGAAAGTGTTTTTCCCCCTTAAAGGTAAAGGTAAAGGGAGCTCTGACTAGTAGGTTCAGTCGTGACTGACTCTGGGGTTGTGGAGTTCATCTCGCTTTATTGGCCAAGGGAGCCGACGTACAGCTTCCGAGTCATGTGGCCAGCATGACTAAGCCGCTTCTGGTGAACCAGAGCAGCGCACGGAAACACCGTTTACCTTCCAGCCGGAGCAGTATCTATTTATCTACTTGCACTTTGACGAGCTTTTGAACTGCTAGGTTGGCAGGAGCAGGGACCGAACAACTGGAACTCACCCCGTCGCAGGGATTCGAACCACCGACCTTCTGATCAGCAAGTCCTAGGCTCTGTGGTTTAACCCACAGTGCCACCTGCGTCCCTTACAACACGGCAATATCCACTGAGGGAGAACCAAAAGTTGTTAACTTTAGCTTGGCCCCAAATGACCATCTGACACAGCATTAATTGCCATTGCATCTGAGCAAAAATATTAATAGCAGAGGCCAGGGAGTGTGCATTCATTCAATATATATGTTTTGTGTGTTTTTTAAAGGTACCTAATTCATGTCCCAACATGTTACGATAAGCCCTGGATCTGTCTTAAGAATCAGAAGAGCGGCCAGCATCTGCCAATCTCCTAAATTCATTCCGCAGACCCGAAGTTAAATTATTGAGAGAGCATGGATCGCAGGGTGATGGATTCCTAAGATATATTGTCAGACAGCTACCAAATGGAACAACAGCATCGAGCTGCGTCTGTCTTGTCAGGGCTGAGAGAATAAGTGAGTCGTAGGATAAATGAATGCCTGCTGGCCAAAGGCACTCTCCCTCCACCAGGATTACAAACTGAAATTCCTGTATGCCAAAGGGGAGACAAACAAATTTACTTTCTATTTTATTTTTGGCAGGGCAGGAAGTCGTGTGGGGAGAGAATCATAGAATCATAGAGTTGGAAGAGACCACAAGGGCCATCGAGTCCAACCCCCTGCCAAGCAGGAAACACCATCAGAGCACTCCTGACATATGGTTGTCAAGCCTCTGCTTAAAGACCTCCAAAGAAGGAGACTCCACCACACTCCTTGGCAGCAAATTCCACTGTCAAACACCTCTTACTGTCAGGAAGTTCTTCCTAATGTTTAGGTGGAATCTTCTTTCTTGTAGTTTGGATCCATTGCTCCGTGTCCGCTTCTCTGGAGCAGCAGAAAACAACCTTTCTCCCTCCTCTATGTGACATCCTTTTATATATTTGAACATGGCTATCATATCACCCCTTAACCTCCTCTTCCCCAGGCTAAACATGCCCAGCTCCCTTAGCCGTTCCTCATAAGGCATCGTTTCCAGGCCTTTGACTTTTTGGATCTGAGTCTCTCTTTCCACTCCACCCCTGTGAATGCTACAAACGATACTTAGCATTTATTTAGTATCCTGGTATGTTCAAAGAGCATCATGT